AAATATGGCTAAGAGAAGGTCGTTTATCAGGCAACTTAATGACAACTTAGAGTACGTGCTATGAGCTATTCAAATTACCTTACATACCTTAACTTAGGTATTGCGGTTAGGTTTCTTTCAAAGAAAGGTTTCTGAAAATCGACATAATGCCTAGGTGTGTAGATTAATAATAGAACGCTGGATATATTAGGAGAACTAATTGTAAAAAATAGTAAATATTTTGCTTGTGTAGGCGCGATCTTTTGAGAAAACTGAACCATGCTCGTATTTTTAATATTTGAAAAATAAAATATACTAAGAGGAATCATAACGAACCGCGTTTGATGAAAAAGAGTTTGGATAAACTGATTACTTGCGGAAATCGAAAGAAAATTCATAAAACGAAAAAAATGTTTTCAACTACCATAAGTTATTAATCAGCGGGATTTAGAAGGTAAGAAAATAAAATGGAACATTTAGGGTTTATTTTAATTTATACCTTAGCACTATTACTTTGAGATTAATCGTAATTTCATTTTGATATAATGTGATCAACATTTAGCTATTGAAGATCAATGTGGGAATTCAAGTAAATGCTATCGCGGAAGTGGGCTCTGATTATCAATAATATGAGGTCATCATATTAAATTTAGTTGAATTGTTCCCAACGCCTTCAAAAGTACAAACCGCTTAAGGAATGTACTTTGTCACCATCTGTCTTTGAATAAGTTGCTCCTCTGCATAAGCATTCCCTAAGGGAGTTCCGAAATGGGTGGGAGGAGGGTGGAGGTGATCCATACTAGAGTTGGTCTCTCCGGAAGCTGATGAAATCCGAGCGATTGTCTTAGTGATAGGAGGCTGGCCTTCAAGATTGCCAAGGGGTCAACTCCTCAACGATTAAAACCATATTATAAGGATAGTTATCAGAGAACATTCCTCAAGCCCCAATTAATTCGAATAACAAGGTTCTAGGCGTTTCTTATCTTTTAAAAAGTTAGGCTTCTTCTTTCAATCATAAGACTGACAAATTGAGACTAACAAAAATGTCAAAAGAATGCTTATTCAATTTTGATTAGTCTTAAAGTAAGGAAAGACAACGAATGTGTGAAATCAACTTATCGACCAAGCAATATTCTCTCACTTTATGGCCATAAATTCATGCATTCAATCGTCCGATTAGACTAGTCTGAAAATAAATAAATATTCCGCATTTCCAGTCTTCAATGGCATTTTGAATGAATACCGTGCAGATTAAGGTCACTTTCTAAATTCCTTTGGCTACATAATTGATTGTACTTCGCTTAAAAATTGAACCAAAGGCATTGAAATAGCAAGATATAAACATTGAATATCGAGTTTACTAAATTAAATTTTGGTCTATTTAAAATTCCTCTCCTTGATGAGGAAAAAAGAACATCAGAAGACTTATTCATTATCACCTATTTTTGTCTAATTTTTTTAATTAATTAGCTCACTACTATTGAGAATGTCTTGTTTGACATACAGAGTCATGTAAACTGTCTCTGTGAGTTACGCTATTTTTATGGAAGATGAGAATTTAAGATTCAAACTTTATACAGAATGTGTTGGAGACAGCTGATTTCTGAATTCGCTAGAATTCCTCCTGTCCATTTAGTTCATTACCAAATGAATGAAATTAAAGCGATTTGATTCTCATGCATTTGAATCTATCACTGCGACCATAGAGATTAAAATTCTTTGAGTGGGTTTTGGGTGGCATATTTTAAAGCTCAGAATCTTCCCACAAAATGCAGATCACTCATTCAAATAATATGCTCTGGAAGAGCAAATTTATGAGCAGAGTACAACAAAAGAATGGCATTCAACTCCACCATTCAAGTAGATTTGCAAGGCAGTAATAAAAATTTGCAAGACTAAAACAATCAGTCGCTACGATTTGAGATTGAGACAGATTTGCAAGACACGAAGAATGACTTTAATTATCCTTTCAAAGTAAAGTAAACCACGATTAGACATAATTAAATCAACCAATGTTTCTAAATATTACCTTCAACCAAAATTACTTCTGTATTCACATTTAGGCATCCAGACCCATGTGCCTTAAAACATATCAAAGTCATATACTCTTCTTAAATAATCAGAAATAGGACTTTTGAGCAACATATCTTGAATCAAAAAATCTACAACAACTTCAAGCATGCTTGGCCAATTGTAAGTGGATCATAAATTAGGTGAACTATCTTTTGTAAATTCGCAAAAATGTACAACTTTCATGGACATTCAAGGGGAGAAACAGCTGACATAAAATTAGAATATCTTTACGAGGTATGTAGCAGTACTGCAGTAAGTAAATATCCCCTCGAAAGGCATTAAATTGCCAATATAATGCCATTTGAAATACCTAAAAGTATTTGTTCATTAGAGTTATATTTACTAGAGTACGACACGGATCAATTTATTAATGATTAAGATAAATCGAGCAAACTGATATGTTTTGTCGCCAAAATTCGTTATAGCACTATGGCGTAGGGCCAAAAATGTAGCTGCAAGGACGATATTAGAGGGCAGATCTCTGGCGATTTGCATTTCCACCGGGTCATTTGGCTCTAAATAGCATGACGACCAAGGCTTTTTTGGCCGCCCATTTGGCGAATATTGAGGAACTTATAAAGTACAGCCCTCGTGTAAAAAATTAAGCCACAGACTATATCTACGGATTAAGAGTTCATGAAAGCGAACGGCACCATAGCAGCAAGGAGATATGATATGAAATGTTTTCATAAATTAATACAATGGTGAAGTAGGAAAAAAAGAAATACCAGGAAGAAGGGCGATTTGGCAAGGCTATTAAAGCAAATTTACTTATTTTATGAATCGCTTGATTAAATCCCTTAAATTAATACCAAATTGGGTTAATCCACCTTACGCCAAAGTTGGTTTCTTGCCACTTTTAATACCGCCGTGAAGGATTGACCTTTCAATGTGTAATATGCACTCATTTTTATGATAAGTTTATTCTTCTGAGAATCTATTTTGGTTTAAAATTTTTAAAAGATACTCCTTCATCAACAATTAAGCATTCTATATTAAATATTCTTTTAATTTCTAAGGTTTTTCGGATATCGAAGTGGCCAACATGCAGGTAGGTTGAGTCAGAATTAACAATGTTAAATAATATTGACAATAAACAGTTTCTTTAACTATTGAATATTTTAATGTAATTATTTAACTCATTAATTAATGAGGTTTTTCGAAGAGGTCACACATTTTTACTATGGAAAGTTATTAAAAAGATGCAATGAAGTTCTATCGACTCTGTGCGAATGAAAATGAGGTAAGATGACACTGACTAATTGATCACCACAAACCCAACGTGTTTTCACCATTTGGAGAGAAATGAAACTGAAAAGGTTGAATGAGAAATCATGCCAATTTCGTAGTTTGGGTTTCCGTATACAGAAGATGACTATGGGACGCGTTTAACTTCAAAATGAAAACTGAGAAATTAGACAACCTAGTAAAACTAGACGTCAGAAGATGTAGAAGCACACAGAATGATTCCCTGTTCCCCTTCTATTGATTTACACCACATGTTTAGATGAGTACAAATTGTAAAATTCGTTTGTTTTTTCTGTTGGTAGTAATAGGGAGTGGAAGTGGCGAGCGCCAAGAATGCCCAATTCGATTTAAAACCACGTGGACAGACACCACCACCTACGCAGTCGCTTGCAGTGGATGATTTGCAGCGGGGCCCTCCAAATTATCTAAACGCAATTCTTGCAAATGACTGACGCTAGCACCAGGGTGCAGTGTCCATGAGTCATAATGGGGGGGGGGGGCGGGGATAAGGAATACTAATGAGGTGGCCTTTCCAAATCTACCTTCGTGAGAGGCCTCTCGACTGTCTACGTATTTTTATGACTTGTGAAGGTTAGTTTTTACTTTTTCTGACCTTAGCAAATAAAAGAAATAGAACCTATCTTCATCGAATACTCCATTTGAAATCCACAGGGAACAGATTCTTCAGCAAATGGAGGTTAAAATTAATTGAATTTCATATACTCAATTCTATTACAGGAACAGGTCTTAGAAAAAAAATTTGAATAGTTTGTTATGAAAAGATTTAATTCAATGTCATTTTAGGTGAAAAACACTTTCAGACACAATCGGTTAATGGTCTTCTAACTCTGATAAAAGACTGATCAAGGAGAGAGATGTACAATCCCACGCTTAATTAAATTTAAGCATGATGACTCATACCCGAGGTTAAATAAATTCAATCTGCTTCTGAAAAAGTACCAGAAGATTTAAACAAACTTGTAATCTCATTCCCGCGAAGTATTTTCTTAAAATTATAACTACTCAAAGGTTTGTTGTGCGATCTGAATAAACTCATAGTAACTGAAATAGCCTTCGTGGACATTTAATAAAATATATGGCGATGAATTGGAAAAGTAAACTAATAAATGAAATTTGATTAAATATTAAAATATGCTCAATTCATTGAAAGTGGTTATGTCAATTATCATCAAAACTTGTAGCGTATTTCATTGCTTGGAATATATGAAAAGTTGCACAAATGTTTGCTGAGGAATAAAAATTTTTTTAAGGAATGCATTTGCATTAATTACTTGTTTCAATGAAAATCCAGCTCATGCATGAGGAAAATAGTATCCATCTCATGGTTTAATGTATTGAAACTTTGCCATTAATCTGCATTAAATTACAAATCACATATTGAACACCCGCGCTGAATTGGACCAGTAAAATTTCCATTTGGCCTGCTTCAGGCCCCATCGCATAGCCAATGAGTATGGAAGAGATGCAATAACGCAAAGCACTACGAGCTAAACACCATTGCCACCTAATAAAGGGTCATAGCAGGCATGCATATTGTTGCTAATTTTTTTCAGGTGTAAATGAAAGCAGACGTGTGTATGTGTATGTGCTAGAGAGCGTGTGATTGTGTTTCTGCCAACAGATCTCCTAACAGATACACGAATGCAACGCAATAATAATAATTGAGAATGCACTCATTATCAAAAGTGCTCAGGGATATATGGGGATAAGGGGGGGGGGTGGAAGGTAAGCATAGGGCAGGCTAACTTACGACGCGCTGTAGAACTGCCATCTAAGAGTAGTGTATAGCAGAACAAAGTTTGAAAGTGAGCGCTCACAAAGAACAAACAGCCACGCAGACAGCAAAGGTGTGAGAGAAGTAAAACATGCACATCATACGTACCATAATCACACCTATATGATGATATTGTATCATTCTTGTTCACTAGAATACGCCTCTGCCTGGAAGGGTCGGGGAAAAGACTGTTGAAATCCACTCTGAATTGGAAATGACAAAGAAATGGATTGTCCCAGAAGATCACATTGTGCTGCTGAATCACTACGGATTAACGGAAAATCTTTTGAGTTTAAACTATATCCTTATTTATCTGCATAAACGTATTTAAACTCAAGTAAAGCAGAGAAATTTTCCTTTAATTGCGAACAGTAAGAGATTGAGATATTCTGAATGTTCAGATGATTTCAATAACCAAAGCAGCTAGTGGGTGTAGGAATTTTAACTTTCCATCTTGATAAAGTGTCCATTTTAAGTTAAGTTTACTTATATACTAATAGCTAAGTCTTAATCTCCTAAGTATATGTCATATTATTATTACTTATTATGATATTGGGCGTTGACGCTATCGAACATAAAATAGATGAAACACAAGTCCAAAATGCAATAAATTAATACTTTATGGATATTAAAAGGTGTTAAGAACATTTTGCAACAAAATACGCATAACAAAAAATTATAATATTTACAATAATACAATCTCACCCGTGAGGTTCCGTAGGTCCAAAATTTCCAAACCATATTCGATGGATTTGGCATTCCGAGCGACATATAGGGATATATTACCTTTTCCGCCATAATGATAAGGAACATGACCTCGAATAATCCGCAGAGATGTTAATGGAATTGATTTCACATCATTATCAGATATAAAAACGTATCCAGAAACTTCTCGAATTGAACTTAGGAATGAAAGATCAGGATCGGTTCCATTTTCAAGTCGCTTTAAGTAGCATAAAACAAGATTGCCAATAATATGTGTGCATTGCGAATAAAGTTTCTCATAATATAAGACCATATTTTTAGAACTTAATGAACTGCTGCAATTTGTAATTGGACTTCGGCATACTAAATATTAATCAATAATTAAAATTAACTGTACATTTTATGTTCTGATATTCAGGCGAGAGGGAAAATTTAAATGCGTGAAAGATCCCTGAAAAGTTATTAAATATGGGGATTTACCAAAGATAAGGGATAAAATAAAGATAATTCTTAACATTTGAGGCATTTTATTCGGAACACATTACGGACAGAATCAATATCAAATATCTGCGTTTATAATAACCTTGAAATTTGGTCAACTTATAGTGACGTATTTTCAATATAGAATGAGTTAATAATAAAAGCTTCAAAAATATCTTAAAACAACAAACAATTTCTATATTATTTTGAGTGAAGTTGAAGCATTATTATTAATTTCCTTTGATCTTAAGACATCGTCATAGAATATGTGGCATATTTAATACCAGATCTATTTAAAAGATTTTTCGAAAGCTTTTATTTCCCTTTTAAATTTCCGTCGATGGTATTTGATTGTTTTTATCTCATGTTAAAATCTTCCATCTTCATTGGTCTTGAAAATTTTAAATTATTTATTTCTAATCATGTTCGTGCATTGGAAATATGGCATTGATTTTGCTAATATTTTCTTATTTCGTAAGCCCAGAATGCATTCACTACGTTCATCAAAATTTTTTACTATTATTATGTTACCACCTAAAAGAGTAACACCGAAAGTGCATTACAATAAGGCGAAAATACACAGGCCTTGATTATTTTCTTATTTCAAAACAAAATAATTTATGCACAAATGTAACTGGCAACTATCAAGATATAAATGTAAACGTGATCTCATACGTTTTAAAAACTTTGTAATGGTTGCAAAAGGTAATGATTACTTTGCTTCTATGAATAATATTATTGAAATTTACCTAATTTGGTTAGGAACCCCGTCCCTGTACAAAACTTACCCAAACCTAGTGGACATAATTTTTTCCTCAATCTATTATCCAAAATCATTCTTTAACCTTTATTTACAGAAGCACCATGTTTATTCCACATAGCTGTCAGTAAACCTTTTTGCTCCTTTTACTTAGTTTCATATCGGTTAGGTCAAGAAAAAAATTATTTTTCTGTTTATTTTATATTTTAACTGTTTCCTTTTAATTAAGATTATCTCTGTATTCAACACCTCACTTGCTCCTGTGTTTGTGTATTAGCAAGTCTCTCTCTATTCGTTCACTCCATTTATGCTTAATAGTAGTTATACAGAACATATGCAACTCTTCTTCTCAAACCACTTTTGAGAAAACTCAGCTGATCTCTATCGTCAGGTGGCGGCTGTTAGTCTGAGTTCGAAGAAGCCATTTTATTGGTTTATGTAAAATTATTATTGGGGATTTAAGTAGGTTATTTTCGATTATCTCAGGGAGCTCAAGAAGAGCATTCGTTAATCTCAAACAATAGTATTTATTAATCAACGCAAGGAATTTTCAGTTTACAACCCTCAATTACTTCTGTCTTTTTAGCCTATTAAGGATCTTCAAATCTTTTGATCTATTTGGAAGTAGTGCTTTACTATAAGACATATCATTGTTTTATCAGAGACTGCCTACACGACTGCAAGTCATTTTCTCATTATTGGCGCTGAATGCCAAAGTACAGCGGAAGGGCTTTTGTTAAGAGAAAATGGCATGTTGATAGAATGTGAGTAATTGCTAATCCAAAATGTTTGAGCTGTAAAAAAATAGTTTAAATATGAGTCAATATTCACGCATAGATGTTCTAATGCAAAAGGTAGATTGCTTTAATAGAATCATATATTAAAATATAACCTCATCTCCATCAATAAAAATACCAAGCATTTTCCCATGATAATCGTACTTGTTACAAAGTAATCCAAAAAAACTAACCGATCAATCCTCAATATCAAAGAAAGACGTGCTTTCATATTAATACCAATCTATTTTGTTCTATAATCTACCAGCTCCTACCAATTGGAATAAAAGTTGGAGCTAAAAGATGAAAAGGTACATCCTTAGGGAAAGACAGATTTTTACAAATATCATGAATCTAATTCTCAGCCCAAAGCAAAAGTTTGCATCCACGTGGGATTGCGCTACTATGATCTATAGCGAATTGTTATTTGAATAAGCCCTGAACCAGTTTTATTTATGTCTATAACAACATCCTTTAGCTTGATATGTCTCCTAAGTTAGCTAAGCTCCCTCAGTGATAAAGAAGAAACAGATGAATGACATGGAGTACCTTTGGTTGGGTTGTGTGTTACGGACAGGGAGCTTAGGTATAAAATTCTGTCTTAGGTAACCTGACCCTTTAATGACTATTGATAATTGATTGGTCTGAGAGCCAGTGCACTAGAAACTTCATTTGTTCCCTAACGCGATCGGGTTCCAGAATGTTCTAGCCAACTTGAGATTGATTAGTTTCATCGAGTTAGAATTGTGTACTTTACAGATCTCTGTGCGAGATTTTGGTTCGTTCATTTCAGATGAAGTCTAACATATCTTTACCGCTATTTAACTTAAGATAAATCTAGAGGGCCCTGAGTCGTATCAATTAATGTCCTCAACTGGGGTGCGCGACAGACTTACCTCCACGTGGTACACTCTGGGCAACGTATGCTCATACGGCAAAAAAGTCTATTAACTGGCAGTTGACTTCTGACTTCTAACTATTATGACCCGACACTATGTCATATTACACCACTCCGCAGTACTCGTCTTACCTTTTTCTACCTTTGTGTCTGTCACTTTAACATCTTTGAAACACTCTTCTGTCCCCCCTCTCAACTTTTTCCCTTCCATGTTCTTTCCTCTCTGGGAAGCCTGAAGTCAACTAAAGGGCTAATGATATATATCAAAACACCTGCCATTTGATATATTTATTTCAAATGGCAGGCGTTATGATATTTTTCACTTTCACTTTCACTTCAGCTTCCCCCAAGGGTGGGGGGAGGGTACATTTATAGCAGTTAATTAATAGCAATTCATTAGCTGTCTTCTTGCTTCCCAGTATCTCTGGCTTTCCGTCGTTGCCTTTAGGGCTGGACACCGAATCAGGTGGGTCTTCTCCATTTCCTCCTGTAGGTTACGTAGAGGGCATGTGGGTTGAGTGTATACTCCCAATCTGTGAAGGTGTTTTGCCAAGCAATCGTGTCCGGTAAGTAGCCTAAACTCAGCAACGGCTTCGATTCTTGGCCAGTTGGA